TAATAATAATTTTCTAATATTATTTAGTTTATTATTATTATTATAAACTTCTACATCTTTTAATTGAATCTAATCTAAGTTTTACATTTCAATGTCCACAGCCTTACAAGTTACAGTAACTAAGTTACACAATCACACTCGCAGGACAAGAGCTTTGAAGAAGCCCGACTTTGGTAAAAATTGTTTAAGTTCCTCTTTCAGTTTTATAACACATTCGCGTTTTTAGTATCAAAAAAGAAAATAATATCCTATGCCAACAGTCGATATTATAATAATTAATATGATTTATACAAGTTCATACATAAAAATGTGTTTTCATCGACTCGCCGTCTATGTTCCAGACCGAAGTCAGTAAGTGACGTCAAGGTCTAGACACTAGTAACTAATAACAGTAAATTAGTATGTAAAAATATATTAATATCAGTAATGTTACACATACCGCAACATGACTTGGAATGTGTGGTAATCCCATTCTTTGAAGAGCTTCTGTGAGATCTTCAAAATCAATCCTGCCATCTTCGTCAATATCTAACTGTTTGAACAACTTTTCCAGTCTTTCCTCCTCTTCTGACGGAAGTTCTTGGTAATAATGAGGAGGGTGATTAAACGAAATATTCTGTAAGTATGAGCTCATTCTGCTTTACCCCAGGTAATAAATATTTTAAATGGTAATTAAATAAAATTTCATAGTTCTGGTCATTAAAATTATAACTTTACACTTGTGCTTCTACACTCTATTCGAAAGCTACCTATCTACTACACATACGTAGCACTAACATGAACCAAGGAGGCCTACAACCCATGTCTTCTTGCAATTTTACGATGACGCAACGAACATTTTAAAGAGACATCTATAGAAAATTAATAAAGCAAAATATGTGTTTTACAAACCCAATAAATATATATATGTATGCACGTGTATAGAAATTAAATAGTTTTTAACATACATTTTAAAAGTTTTATCTTTTTAAATTATATTCAAGGATGTGTATACATGATACAATTTATAAATTTGGAGGTATATCTATTATTCAAAAACCTCACAGATATCTTTTCACAATACCATATAAATTATAATATCAGGTTTGTTTGAAGTTAAACACAAAGCAACTCAATGGGCTATCTGTGCTCTGCCCGCCACGGGTATTGAAACCCAGATTCTAGCGTTGTAACTCCGTAGACATACCGCTGTGCCACTGGGGGCATAATATGAGGTAATGCTTAACTGTTAAAAGTTCAAATCAATACTCTTTTTACGTGGTTACAGTTATTTAAGCTCAATAAAACTGTTCCTTATGCTTATAAATCATTGTTTGCCTACCTATTATTATCTTAGCGCAATGTGCTTCCTTACTTAAGTAAACAATGTTATATTTCTATTAAAGTTATTCACTTCTTCTTTTTTTTAATTAATAGCTATATTTATCGTTATAGTTACGTGACTTGCAGGCATACCATGTTCTTCTACTATTTATATATAAGTATTTATCAAAATTGTCGAATAGAAAGGCACTGGCATGACAGCAGCATGTGATCCTAGGTGTGATCGTAACATTATTTTATTTTAGTCGCTTCAATCCTTTGTTCTTTTTCTATATGACGTTTTCTGTCTGTAGAGATGTTTTAGTCTATATATTAAACCTGGGTTGAATCATTTAAAACTAGAATATCCTTTGCTGGACGAATTTCGAAGTCAGATAGATTTGATAACTGACCAATACCATCAGGAAACAGCTGTATCGCCACCTACTGTACAAAGAAATAAATGTGGTGTTCAAAACTCGGGTACAGTTCCTTTATCTATTTTTCTCCTAAACTCGCTCCAGTGAAGATCTGTCTTCGTGTTCCGGTTTGCAATATTTCGACTTGAGAGTAAGAAGATTATAACGTTGAACACTAGTTAGGAAGAAAGGATTGTACATTTTAGTCTGCGAGTGTGTCCACTTAGTTTTCTTCTTTCTTTTTTTGTCTAAAAAAAAAATTTGATTGTTTACTTAAAACGTGTCCTACTTATTTGCACACCGAAAGGAAACTTACTTACAGTATTTCATCATAAGAAATGTCGTAAATTCTCCTTGACAAACTCCGCAGTTATTATAGAAACTGTATCTGATACTCGTAGGGAAATCAGTTTTTAACTGCAAGTACCACAATTATACACATAATTACTTGAAAAATTGGCCACTTGACAATATAACTGATAGTAGACAATCAAGTGGCTATCTTCTAAAAATAGAATAAATTGGAAGGTAAAACATCTTTATGATAATCTCCAGGCCTTGATTATATATATATATATATATATATATATATA